CTATCTCATTATATTGTTTGGTTTATATTATTAATAATTCGTTAATTAAAAATTTAAATGAACTTAATAAAAATATTAATCTATTAATTGAAATAAATAAGGGGTACGGTGATCCTATATACACCGTTGTTTTCACCATATTGATGCAAGACCATTTTTAAGAGTAAAATTGTCCATTTAATATAAAAGAGTAGATATAGCCAAAATGAGGGTGAATATTGCAACAGCCATAGATAAATTATAAAAACAAATAAAAAAGATTATAACAATTATAAACAAAATTATTTGAATGAAATAATTTTCAATTAAATCTATTTGAAAATTGGTAAGAAAACAAAAATAAAATTTATATTTTAAAAAAATACATAAAAAAATCTAGTAAATAAATAAGAGGTCATAAGAGTATAATATTTTCTTAAATGTGTCACGAGAATGGGTTAAGAACGTATTTGAAGTTTGACCATGTGGAGAGTATACAAGCAACTTAAATTAAGACGGAGGGAGCCTTAAATTAAAGTTAAGAAATATTACATTGATAAAATGAGGAAATTTAACATGCTAAAAGTTAAAATTATAAATACTAAAAGATTAGAAACTACTTATTCCCCTGTTTGATCATGGCCTCAACTCTATCCAATGTCGTGTTTGGTGGGGTGGCATACTCGAAGCCTTAGCCTTAGTCTTTTCATTCGTCTTCTCTGTGGCCTTCCTCTGAATCAGACAGCTCGGATTGCTGGGTTCCTCACCCAGAGAGTTGAAGTCGTCCCCTGACGCATTGAGGTTGATGGACTGTCCACCCCCGCTCGTCGAGTACTAACCAGTCTCAAAGGGTTCGCTTCGGCCCCGATTCCCCAGCATCCGCCCCAATGCTGATTTTCAGACTCTTCTGCATGCAGAAGTTTTTTAACGTCCAAGAACTTGAAAGTTTTCATTTCTGCTTGGAAGTAAATGTTCATCTCCTTCAAGAGAATGCCCTCGGTGTTGGACCTACGTGGCCACGTCTTTTAGACAGCTGTGGCATACATGCCACCAAACTTTTGGACTTTTGAGTGGACCTTCCCATAGTGTTTTCAAAGTATCTTCTCGTCATGTTCTGGCGTACCGACGAGCCTCTCAGTGGTGTACTTTTCCGTAACATGGTTTCAAAATAAGTTGATCTTCTGGAAGTTTCTGATGATGGTGTCCTCCAACTCGTCAACGTACAACTCTATCAATGCTAGACTTTCTGTCGGGTTTACTTCCGCCCGTTTGTCTTCTTGCCCTTCCCTTTGCTTTGGCCTTCTCCCATGGACTCCAACTCTAAAAATATCGTAGTCGTCCGTATTAACACGACCGACAGTTGGTAGGGGCTATCATTGGAGCCCGAGAAAAGGGCAAACTGGTCACCCAATCAATTTACTTTTCCAGTGGCACATTATCCTGAAAGCCAACAGAGTTTGCATATCGGATGAGTCCATCAATGTCACATTGCTGGATGGGGAAGTAGTCACCGTTGGGATTCATATTTGGAAAGGGAGATGGGAGTAAGATGAGATTGATTTCAGTGAGATGAGAATCGATGAATTGGAGTTGGATGTTGGAACACGGGTTTACGCCTACGTCGTACTAAACTGTGTTCGGTTTTTATGACAGGTTTTTATAATGCCAAACCGCCGCAACACATCGAAGCTAAAGTGAGCAAAACTAAGGCGAAGGAACATGGCATGATGACTTGAGAACCAAGAACCCAGAATCAAGAACGAAGAACTAGAATTGTATTGAGTCGGTCTTAATGTGATCAAGACCGGCACAAAATTCCAAATCTTGGCTCTCTAGGCTCAATTCATAAAATCTCTTTTACATATTCAAAAATACTTTTCTTAAGTTTTAAACTTGGCTCAAAACACTTGGAGTTCGCCCAAGCCAAAAACCAAGCCACCCGGCGTTCGGCTTTCAGAAACCGGCGTTCGGCTTTCGGTTTTCGGCATTGGTTTTTGGCGTCCAAACCAACCAAGTGGTTTTCAACTTTTTATGACTGGTTTTTACTTCTGGGCATATTTAAATAGTTCTCCAACAAAAACGCCTCAAAAACCACCTTCCGTTTTTGGTCGTTTAGTGAAAACCATGCGAAACGGCGCGAACTCGGCTAGCCGTGGTTTTCAACTAAATAACGTGATTTTTAAGATGTTTTACTTGATTTCTTAGCAAAATGAAATAAACAAATGTTTTCTAAACTTGGTTTTTATTTTGGAGAACTTGCGTTTTTGACATCGGCTAACGGAGTGACTAAACCAACCATGGGTCTGGCTAAACCAGCCCAACAGCGATATTGAGGTAATCAACAGCGCTGTCTGGCCTGGGTAGCTAAAAACATGGTTTGGCGTTAAGTCTTCCAACAGCGATGTTGGACACTAGACATCGCTGTTGAGCCAAGGTTGGATTTCCAGAAACTTCTGGAACAGCGATGTAGGCTTCCCTACAGCGCTGTCCAACCTAAGCCAAAAATATAGTGCATTGGCAGAAAGTTTCTGGACAGCGATGTTGACCCAGCAACAGCGCTGTCAGGCCAAACTTCCATCTCCAAAGGCAGACCTAAACAGCGATGTTTTAGTATAGAACATCGATGTAGAGACCTGACCGTTGGAAGGAATTTAAGGCTAAAACTTTCCTTGTTTGGAAGTCAACAGCCAAAACAGTGATGTAGGGATTTTAGACATCGCTGTTGGCATGACCGTTGCTTCCCATTTTTCAAACCGCAAGCCTAAAACAGCGATGTCCAGGCCTAGGACAGCGCTGTCTGGGTGATTTTCAACAGACCCAAATTTCATCAAATCCCACAAATTATGCCAATCACCCCTTAAATACTTTAGTCCGTTGGAGCCTATTTTTCTACTATAAAATGGGGTGTTTGGGTCTGTTTTACACATCACATTACTTCACAACTCCTACTCTTTCATTGCAAATCATTCCTTAATTATTCATAGCTTTTGAGAGCCATTTTTGTGAAGCTTGTGTTGTGTTCTTGAGCGTTCTTAGTTTACTCAATATCCACTCTAAAAAGAGAGTATTGTTCTTGAGTGTTTTTAGTGTTCTTAGACACTTGACAAGAGAAGGTATTTCTCTTGTTGTTCGAAGGAAGGGTTGTTTCCTTCGAAGGTTCGTTGAGATTCGTGTGACTCGAATTCTCAAGTTGTACGGGTTTGTTAAGCACCGTTAAGCTTAACGAGATAATAGTGTAGCTCGAGAGAGTCTCTCGGGAGGCTGGATTAGCCACAAGTCGTGGTGAACCAGGGTAAAATCGGTGTGCCTCTTTCTTTTCTCTTTACTTATCGCTTATTCATTTTTATTCCTGCGATTTCTTGATCAAACGCTATTCACCCCCCTCTAGCGTTGGTCTATTATTCTAACATTGGAGATATAGTTAGTTTATGCTTTAACTAAATAGGTTAATGAGTTTAGTTTTTTTAAAAATAAAAATTTAATTAAATAAGACTAAAATATGGAATAATATACAAATTCAAATAAACTAAATACTTCGTGAAAAGAAAACGTCAATAAACACAATTTAGTTATCTTGTTGTTTTATTCATTGCTTTAGGAGGTTGGATGGGTACGGAATGACAGTATCCAGGAGAGTGAGAGGTGAAGTGATTTGTGTCGCCGTTACGGTACATAACGCGTAGCCCATCATTGTTTCTTTTTGTCGTTGATTTTCCTCATTTCTTAGTACCAATACTCTTTTTTTTATATATTATTTTTTTACTCCATCCGTCTTGGAATATTTATTAATTTTTAATTTTTTGGTTAAAATTGATAAATTTGTAGCTCACATTAAATAAAAATGATATTAGATATTGAAATAAAAATAGTTCTATTAGGTTTATTATATAAAATATTTTTAAAATATTATTTTAACTAATTGGTATACAATATATATCTTATTTAATTTAACATCAAAGATTGAAAATGGTTGGAAAAAAAATCATAACTAGACAAAAACTCACAAATGGGTAAAATTTAGAATGATCCATTGGCTAGTGAGTGAGAATGAGCTGAGTGGGCCGGACCCCTACATAGTCGAAACGGGCCGAATTGGTTGAAGTATTAACTAACTAAACGAATGGGCTTAATAAATACATACGGAGTATATTATTATCTGTTCTTATGTAGCCCCAAACTCTGGTTTCTAATCTTGTAGCGTCAAGATACTCCCTCTGTCTAAAACATTACCTCTCAGTTTAATTTTTTATAATAAAAATACATGAATTTTGAGTTTCATTTAAATTAAAAATGTAGTTCCTCCGTTCAAAAATATTCTTCCCGATTTGACTTCAAATAATACCCCTCTTCCGAAAAACTTAATCTAGATCCAATTAAAAGAAAGAGTGTCGCAAATATGGAGAGTTGATTGAGAGGAAGAGAAAGAAACATAAATTCAGAGAGGTTGGGGAATAAAAGATGAGTGTATTGTGTATAATGATCATTTCACATCTTTTCTACTATAAAAAAATACAATTTCAAGGCAGAGGAAAAAGTATATTAAATATTATTTTATTTTTTAAACAGAGAAGTAATGTATAATTTTATAAAAATGATTTTATTAAATATATATCTTATTCAAAACTTTTTAAATTTTTATTTTACTATACTAGCAATGCACATTGAAAATCATTGAAGCTCCAAATTTTGGCTAAATCAAACTGAACAAACTGAAAGAGAAGTGGTATTATATCCAATTCTTAGTTTTACACTCCAAAATTTTTAATTCCCAATTCTTAGTTTTAGACTCCACCGGAAATAGGATATGTTCTTTTATCTTCTCTTCAAATTCGATCCGTTGGATGCAATATGATGCAATAAGAGATCCTTATATAGGACAAATTGAGAAATGTATTATTTTCATATGAATAAATTTTCGTTCAATAATGCTATAATTACTCGAAGTTTAACACAATGGACTAAGGAGTAAAAAACCCCAGACTACCAATAGCAAAAAACAAACAATTTAAATCAAAATCTTACTCCTTAGTATCTTATTATTCTAAGACAAATGTTCTAAAGAACATTTCACATTCTTCATGTTCTAGCCTTCCAAGAAGGGTAAAAGTTGAGGGATAAAGCGCATAGAGCCAAGACAGAAAATTGATGAAAAACTGAATGTCTCCCTTAGATTGATCAGAAAATTATAGTGCCAAAACTCACTCACAAAGTCTACATGGATAAAAGAGAATAAAGTTTGGACATGAAGAGAAGTTGAGGGAACTGTATCCCTTACAGAAAAAGTACAAAACAAAAATTATAACACGGAGAAAGGGGGAAAAGAAAGTAGTTGCTGAACTCAACTTGGTCTAAGGGTCAGCAATTGTGACCTCAACCTCAACTCCGGGTTCAATGGTGATTGAGGTGATCTGTTTCACGACATCGGGAGAGCTGAATAGGTCAATGACACGCTTGTGCACCCTTAGCTCAAATCTGTCCCACGTATTGGTTCCTGTGGAATAAAACAATAATGATGATGAGATTGTTACAATCTAAAACAAGAGAAAACCAGAAAACCCCAGCAAAAGGCCTGGGAGGGGAGGGGGAGGACAAGGCTGTTTCCAAAAGATAGTTACCATTTCTAAATTTGTTGCATTTACTAATCATTAAATTTGAGAAGCTTTAGTAGGGGTAATCAGAAAAAAAAACGTGGATATGATATCTTGAAGTGCAAAAAAAGAGCATCATTTTGGGACAAAGATTTTAAGGCAAATGAATGACCAAGCACTATCGAAAGCCTAATATATATCATCTTTAGAAATTCCAACCTTAGCACATGAGAAAAAAATAATACCTTCTCCACATGGAGACTTTCTGGTGGTAATGTGAAGAACCTTAGTGGGAATCCTCACGGGTCCTTTAACACGGAGACTTTTATCCTTGGCTCCGCGCACCAAATCAGCACACACTGTAAAATTGATTTCATAGCAAAAACCACCAATTAAATCAGTATGAGAATTGGGTCATATGGCTGCCACATAATCCTGTAGTCAATTGAATGAAGAATCAAGTGTTTTTCTACAGGCGAATCTACCAATAAGCAGACAACATCAGAATGCAAACTGTTTGTTCTTATTAACCACCAATTAAATCAGCATGACTTTAATATCAATATATTCCTACTGAAACATAGTTTTCAAATATCAAATTTTTATAAAATATATCGATGTATAAATAAATGTATTAGTGCTCAAAGTACAATTTTGGAGACGAGGAAAAGTCAAATAGGTAGAACATTTCCGGATGATGGGAGTTTCATTTTCTTACTTGTGCTCATAGCTTCTATGATTTAATGAAAATCCACTATCATGACCTAAATTGTTGAAATTATGCATTTCCAATATAAATATGAAGGAATACTGAAACTGTGGGCATCAAAACTTGAGACTGAGAATGGAATTTCCAGAAATTAATACTCCCTCCATCCCAAAATAAGTTTTCAATATTCAAAGATCAAGCTATTTCTTCTTTCTTTACATATTTTCTTTGATCATTGGATAAAATAAAATAGTGAAGTCATCAATTCTTTAGTAAACCTAGATGTCATTTTAAATGAATACAGTTTTGCAATGCTTGATGTCATTTTAATGTATAAAGAGTATAATTTTTATTATCTTAATCAAACACTAGTTTTCAAATATACTGACTTCAAAATAACTTTGGTCAAACATTCTAACTTTGGTCTACCACCTTGTTTGGATGAAGTGATGAAGTTCAGACCATTTCTTACACTTCCTTCCCATTTCATCTCATCAAAGTCAAGAGCAAGGCATCTTTCCCATTACACAATTACACTAGTGCACAACCTCAACATTTGTAAGATCTTAAATTAATAAGTATGATAAAAATACCCTTCTCGAGATTTTTGACATGCTTTGAGGAGAGTGTAATTCTGATTTTGTGCTCCTGCTCCTGAGGTTCTTCCAGCCCAGGCTTGGTTGACTTCGGAGGCTTGTAAGCCATATTTAGGGTTTTCTCACTCCCAAATATACAATAAAAATCCCTGTTGCCAGAGGCAAATGTCACACTAGTATGAGAGTTTGATAAAAACAAAGATATGTTAAAGTTTTCATTTTTAGTCACCAATAGCTTAATTGTTCTGAAAAAAAGACATGAGGTCACAAAAACGTTCTTTTGAAACAGAATTTTTTACATTTGGATTCGGATTTCAAATGACAAGATACTGCAAATAAAATCTCATGATTTTTGTTATGTGAGCGTGCATATGAACTAAAACTCAACATCAAACTTTGTAATTTCAGCAACAAAAAAAACACATAGCGAAAAAGAGCATATATTATCAAAATTTTGGAATAATACTATTATCTGCGTATTTGGTTAGTTATCTCTTAATCCGGAGTGAGTTAATTTCAATCTCATTGTAATATGCACTCGTAAAAGTTCGATCCGAACAACTGAACGAGCCTAAAAAAACACAGTTTCATATCTGGAAAATTGAAACAGAAATTCAAAAAGTTGAGGAAATCGAAAGCCGAAGACGAGAAGGATTGAAGATCTGAGCTTAGCGATCGGAGATACCTGTGGCGGAAGCACGAAGAACCCTGGAAACTGGAATGGGAGGCCGGCAAGAGTCGAAGAGAAGGTTTTATACTCTTTTCAGGGTTAGCGGAAAGCATTAGGTATGGGCTTGAGTCCACTTGTGAATTTAAAGTGATAACCAATTAAAGGCCCAAATATGTATCTCAAACAAGGGAGTATCCATTTGTTGGATGATTTTTTATCTATGTCATGGATTTTATTAATTATTATATTATAGGGTACATCGTTTTATTTTCATTAATATTATTCGTCTACTTGGAAATTTGTTAATGATATACAGTATCAATAAAATCGTCGAATTCATAAGTATTTTGAAAAATTGTCAATGGTCCTGTTAGGCATCAGTTTAAGAGATTAGCGTTAGCGTTTTGAAAAAGTTATTCGACGGTAGTCTTTAGCGTTAGTGTTGACAAAATTAGTCTACACCATTAAAATTTTATCCAAAACGTTAATATTAATCGAAAATGTTGTTCCCAAACAAGACGAATATCTATAAGTGATGTCACTGAAAATGTGTTAGTGTATATTAAGCTTTGTCCTCATTTGCTAATAATTTCTTATAGTAAATTACTCGCTATACATTTGGTGCTAAAAATATACTTGTCCAATATTTGGATCAATAAAAGTGAATATGCTTGGTGTTAAAAAAAATCTTTTGATGAAAACACATGGCAAAATGGCTACTTCGTATTAAAAATGTTTGATGAACATTTTTTTTCGTATAGCTTCTTCGTCTTATAAAAGTGAATTACGGAGTACAAGTTAAAAGATTCTATCTCGAGAATCTCAACTTTTTGACCTACAATTTTTTGAGAGTTTATTGTGCCAATACCTTTCGTGTTTTGATAAATGTGCACCATTACCCTTCATGATTTCAAAGCTTACATTGTTGTCCATGTGATTCTAATATTCTTACGTCAATACCCTTTTAGACTAAAATAGCCTTCAAATATTAAATGAACAACTCCGTTGTCCCTTATGGTTTTGAAAACGTACACCAACACCCCTCCCTTTTTTTTCTTTATTACTAATCTCTTTTCCTTTCTTTTTTTCTTAAAGAGAAAAATGTTTGTGTTTAAAATAATAAAAAGTAAACTATTTTTCAAAAAAAATGTTTTAAAAACTAAAAACTATTTGTGAACTACGGAGTATCTTAAAACATTCAAACACCTGACACAAATAGTTCATCATATGGAATAACCTTTTCTTAATCAATTGATGATGAAGATGCCAAAGATAGAAACATTTATGAAGCAAAAATTATCACTCAGTACCTAATGTCCTCATATACTTAAGAGTAAAATTATCGAACGAGTTTAATAAAATTTAGCATTCATAGGATTTTTTGGTTCTCTATATAGGGAGTAAACTCCTATCACTATCAACTTCAAAATTGAAAGCCAATTTTCCAGTGATTGATCTAGGGATGTAAACGAACAATATCCAGATAGAATACGCTATGACCTATCCGTATCCGTTAAGGAGACCCACTATCCAAATTCGCATCTCAATCCAACATATATTTGCAATGTTAAATCCAATTCCAATATATTTTTTCCCATAAATGCAAATGAAGTACAAAAAAAAGAGAAAAACATCACTTTAACTCTTAGGGTGAGACCGAAATTGACACACATTATCGATAAAACGATGGCACGGGCAACATTAATGTCATTCATAGTGTGACAATATCATAGATCCAAAATCACACAAAAAAAACACAGAGGCAATTCTACTTGTTCTACAATTGATAATCTGATGGAGCAAAACTCAATGTCAAAATATAGCAATGCTACCAAAACATGAGTGCTACAGGGGAAATTACCATAGAATGGTAAATGTTGTTGCAGTTTCTAGCTTGTAGCAGCTCTGTGCTGCTGGTTGATATCTTCACTGTCCATCTCTTCTGCATCCTCAAACCGATTATCGTTGATTTGAAGCTGCAACAAAAAAAAAATCATCAAAATCAAGACTCCATTTTTCACACCAAAATCAATGGAGAGAATCCTCAATCCCAATACCAGACAGAAAAACAGATGCACGTCGAATTAGTCAGCATTTTAGCATGAAATGCGACTAGCCAGGCACCACTACTGGTATAAGAACAGTACAAAACTCCTATATACTCTGTAGTATACTCCCTCCGGTCCTAAAAACATGGGGTGTTTCTTTTTTCATCCGTCCCAAAAAACACTTCTTATTTCTATTAAAAAGTTACTTTTACCCCTTACTTTTTCATACTCTACCTATTACATCATACCTTTTTACTAATAACCTATCAATCAAATCTACCTTTACCCATCACATCAAAGGACATTTCTGGAAATTCAATACCAAAATACACTCCCCTTAAATCTCTTCAAAATCAAAACATCCCATGTTTTTAGGACCAGGGGGAGTATGAAATACACACACGTGCTGACCTGTTCCGGATCCATTGGGCAGAGAAAAACACACTCCTACTGGGTTTCGGGTTAGGTAACACAAATCAGAAGTTTGATATGGACCTAAGGCCTAAAAGGATACCTGAAGCACTGTATGAGATAAGTCATCCCCATTAGAACAACCAATTGAATTGGATCCATTCTGTAAAACCATCCATTCAGATTCATCATCCTCTGCAAAGTCAGAAAAAAATGGCCCATGGTAAACTGGTTACGGGACAGAGAGCAAACCATGAACTGGACAAAAAAAAAAGAAATCCTTTAAGATTATGCCTGCTGGTTCATTCTGCAACTGATCAGCACTAAAAATCCAATTATGCTCTTGTTCTTCCTCTGGAGAAGCAAATACAGAAGCGAGTTTATTCAGAAGAAGGTATGTGTGGAAGTGAACAGAAAGAAGAAAGACTACAAGAGTCGATAAAATATTGTACTCCGTAATTACCTTCAATGGGTTCAGGGTTTAGCTCAGCACATTCACAGAAGATCTCAAATAGCTCCTCCACTACATGATACCCAAAAGATAATGAAAGTGACGACAGTCAGATTCACTGAAAGCATGAATATAATACAGCACATTATGATGATGATGGTGCAAACCAAGAAGAACTGAAACACATAGGAAGAGAATAGATGCATATCACCTTGATTAGAATCTGATGGAACGAGCCTAAACTCTGTGATCCTTGACAACTCTAATGTTTCATTAGGCTCAGAATCAGAACTGCCTGACACATTATCATCATCATCCCCATTATCAATCTTCAAGATTCAAACAAAAAAAAGTTCATCATTACTCAATGTATATTGCGGAAATAAGCAAATGTGGTGAAAATGTGAACATTTCTCATGGCCAAATAAAGGGGAAGGGTACTATATTGTTGCAGATTAAGAAGCACTAAAATACATTTATAAGAAAAAGGCAAGAACTCAAGGTCATATGGTTTATATTAGTTTCAGATTTATTTCACTAAGCAAAATTCTTTTTTCAAAATTGATAGCTGCATTTCATCAAACATAAGAGCTACGGAGTAATTTTTAATCTGTTAAGTTTCAAGGGAGGATGTTGAATAAAAAAAATCCAAGTAGATACTACCTCCCCCCCCCCCACCCACCCCCCAAACAAAATAAAAGAGTCCTATTTCGGTTTTCAATCCTTAACCAAAGTTATATTCAATTCCATAGATTTCAAAATTGGCGTAGAACTTAAAAATAAAAATGATATATATGAAAACTACATCAAACGTCTACAAAACAAGTGCTGGGTTGACTATTTTAATTTAATAAAATGATCTATGAAATGCATAAAGAGGAAAATATAGTTAGACTTTGGAATAGTAGAGAGAACTCTTTATATTGGGACGGAGGGAGTATAAAATATGAAAAATAAATTAATTTACCTGGGCATATATGCAAGGAGAAGGGTAAGCCTCAGGATCCCTTGAGACGGCATGAAGTGAAATGTGACAGAAATCGACCGCATACCCTTTTTCTTTGTCTGTATCGCTCAACCACACCACTTGCCTGCATATTTTACCAATACAGATCGAAATAAAAACTGAAACTGGAGGATCATAAGTCATATAGATTACAGACATGGATTATGAGAAGGGATTACCTGGTAGTGACGTAAAGAGTGCCCGGGGATAGAGGAGGGTGGTTGCCGAGCACAAGAGAGACGGCCGGTAGGACTTGCGCGAGTTCTTCGCCGTTTCCGGCGTCGAGGACTGGTTCTCCGGCACTAGTTCTGACTGTCACAAGTCTCAATCCGGCCATTTCCCGGCCAATTTGGAGCTCCGATTGCTCCGCGAGTTGCTGTCTATGTTAGGGTTTTGCTCTGCTCGGGCGCGCCAAAAAAAAGTAGTCCACTCTTAGCATTTTTTATGTGTTCGACTAGATTTATTTGGCTCGGACCTAGCCCCTAGTCAATCATATTTGAGTTTTGTGTTTTAAAAGAATTATTTAATGATATTATTTAATTAATTTTATTTTTAAAAATTAATTTGTGTAATTAACAAATTATTTAAAATACTACCGAGTAACATTATTTGTAATTGATCTCTCCAATTGTGGCTTAAATCCACATCTTAAATATTCAAATTTATTTTGTGCATTTAAATTTGTTTTTTTACCAATAAAAAAGGTATACAAGCGAGAGACATCTCTAACTAATATCTCAAATCCTTCGGTTGCTTGGTAATCAACTCATACTCAGGCTATTTGCCGACATCATTCTCTATTTGATTCTTTTTTCTAGATTTGAAAAGCTATCAAACGTACTTTGAGAATATGGATTAATTACATTTTCATTGGGGTGACCATAAAATTTACACCTTAATGTGTTTCTAAAGAGCAATTTAACAAATTTAGATGAATATAATGACTTTAGTCATTTTGCATTTGAGTTTCCCCCCACTCCAAAAGTTTAATCTATTAGCACGGTTGACAAATTTATATTGCATTTTTTAATATACACAAAAATTCCTTTCAAAACATAAGAATAATAATAATGAACACACAAATTTTTAATGTTCTTTTTAAAACTTTTGAGAATTTTTTTTTTGTGTTCTTAAAAAATGCAT